TCAGGGACATTTGTCGAACAGTGCTCGACGGACATTGGCCAATCGCTGTCAAGCAGAGTGCACCCCCGACAACGCGTGTTACACCCGGTGGCATGTCGCCAGGGAATCGCCTACACGGTGGCGCTGACGGTCGACAGTTGCAAAATACCAACGGTCGCAATCGACGGAGACGTCAACTGCGGCCGACCTGTCGCCTCGTCGCTCGAGCGAACTGTCGCTGTCGGATGGGCGACTGGTTACGTCTGTCGCAGTCAAACGTTCACGTCAACTGCTGACTGCCACCTCAAATGTCTCAGTCTCCACGGGGAGCAACATCAGCCCAAGGTCACTGTATAAACCTGAATTCATAGTAGAAGCACCACAGTTTCCTCAGCACGCCAGGATTTAGGGAGAAATGCTAGCTTTCGGTGGGCACTGATGGAGACCGATCCGTCGACGACAGCGCCTTCCCGGCAGGCGGACGTAGGACGGATACCTCTCGAATTGGAGTCCATCTCGACACCACCCCCTTCGTCGTCTGGAGCCAGGCCGGTTTCTTCCGCGCCCCCTTCGACGACGCGTGCCATACCGGAGGTGGCAGCGCCCACCTCGATGTCGCGAGCCATACCGGTAGTAATACAGCCGGTTGTTACGGACCAGCGTTCGACGGGTATTCTGGTCACTGTTGAAGTGGGTGGTGCACAGACCGAATTCCCTTCGACAGGTCAATCCATACCTGTTGTCGTAGAACCCATATCGACAACAAATGCCCCCTTTACACACGAGGCTCCAGCTCACCGTGCACCATCGTCGACAGCCCACCGCTCGACGGAACCTTCAGCTGGTGCACCAACCTCGAAAGGTGGGCGACGTAGGAGAGCGAGGGCTGTTCCGCCTGAGGTTCGCCAACCACCCCCTGCCGGCACATCCGCTTCTCGAGCCGCCCCCGCCGCTCCTAGGCGCACTTCAAGGAGACCAAGTAGAGAGGACTAAGCCAGGAACGTCCCTGAAGCGACGGACGATGACGATGTTCAGACGGGAGAACAGCAGGAGGCGGACGATGTCGAACCGCCGGACCCTCTGCGGCCTGCTGCGGCAAATATATCAGAGGAGGATGCCGCGCACATTCTCGGCGACCAACCGGGCGCAGACAATCCGTACTTGGCGACCAGAACACTTAAAAGCAGGATTCTCCGGTGTGAGGTTCCGCTGCTGGGAGTTGACCAGGATTCCACACGGCCGAACTATGGCTCTGGAAGCATGCACTACAAAGCTTGGGCCTGTAAAATTCTGGCACCCGAGAGAAGCAACGGAGTGCCTAAAGAGTAGCAGGTGATCTACGAGGACGAGATCGGTAGGGAGATCGGCGACGATATGGGGCCGAGATGGAGGGAGGCGCTGCGTAACGAGGAGCACCTGCATGGGCCGAGAATAACGAAGTGGCGCTTGCGCGCGTACGTCGAATACATGTCGACTAAAACCGACCAACAGGCGACTTCGTTGGATACAGGCCGGACCAGAGTCGCTGGAAGGAAGGCGAAAAAAAGCACCCCTCCGATGATGCTGGCGCGACTTACTGCGCTGACGTGCTTCTGCAGAGTAGAGGCCATACTCTTCGACGAGCCACTAACGAAACCCTTGGACGACATCACCGAGGCCCGGCAGCTTCTTGCGGTCAAGCTGCGGCAGCTGCACGACTTTCAGTTCGAGTAAGTAGGCTGCCATACACCGGACTCTAAAACTTCTCACTCAAATTCTCACCCAAATACTCGCTGTATCTGCCCACTCAATGCAGGCAGTGCGTCGATCCACACCGGGGCTCGCTCGACGATGTTTACACGGAGGAGCAGTTCCGCATTCTCGTTTCAGACATCCTGCCGTACTGGGCCAAGGAGTACTTTCAGGAGTCGATGAGTTACCCCAGTCAGTCGCTGTGGAGGGCCTTGGCCGTGAGGGTGATGATCCTGATGGCGCATCACATGCTGGGCAGGGGGATAAGCATCCGCGAGATCCGCTAGTGCAATATGTTCACTCACGTCCTTCCGCCCATCACGAACAGCAAGGGGGAATCGTCGATCCACGTTCTCGTGGTCGCCTATCGCAACTCGAAGACCATCAAAGACAACAAGCTCGGCCACCTGTACCTGACTCAACACATGGACTTCCGGCAGTGCGGCTTCGGAGTAGTGTTCATGTGGATACATTTCATTTTCGACCTTGTGCCGCTCCACTACAACAACGATAATATCGTGCCCCCCTTGGATTTTAGCAACCCGGAAAATTGGTCAAAGAAGCACCTGTTCTTCGCCCTCTTCGACAAGGACAAGACAGAGTTGCCGTACGCGACTCATGCCAAATGGGTTACCTGGGCGATGAAAAGCGCGGAATGGATCCTGTCGAAAGTCACACATATCTTTCGACGGTCTGCGGCACAGATCCTCGCCGACAAAAACTGGTAACTCGACAACATCGCGTAGCTGGGTCAATGGGACATGAACGAGATGCGCAGGTCATACGTCACAGGCATCCCGCGCGGGGCCATCCAGCTGCAAGCGGGTTTCACGACGGAACCGGGTGACTATTACCTTGGAAGATCGAAGAGCGAAGTACCCGCGAAGGTCCTGAAGGCTATCGAGGAGCACATATTTCCAAAGGCGGAGCAGTGGCTCGACGAGGTTTGGATGCGTCGAGCGCTTAGCGTGATCATCGAATGCAAGTTTTGCCCATCTATCTCTCAATGTCACCACGTTTGTTCTTGTTCAGGCGATGGAATGGAACAACGAGCAGGACAAGGAGCATATGTTCTTCGCAGCGAAAAGTTTCTTGAAGGCCCTGCAAGCCGCCCGAATGCCCATCGCCGAGGATCTTGTGATGTACTACGTCCATTGTGACGAGCACCCCTTCGACGGAGTGACTGTTTGCGACTGCGAGCGTCACCCTTATGCACAGATGTCCGATTTGTGCAAGGACATGGATTTCCAAAAATGGGCGCTTGACGTGTACCTGCTCGACAATTACGGCATCGAGATGTGGACCAACCCCACGTTGTCGAAAGCTTCGGTAAGATGGCCCTTCTAAATCTTGATCCGAACAGATTGCATCAGCCCACTTACCTACTGCTCGTGATCTTGTGCGCAGGACGCATCCTTTCAACTCAACACCAAGCACCTCATCACGCAACTTCGGGCAGAGGTCAACTTACACAAGGAGGAGGGTGGGAAAAAAGAAATCAAGATCAAGGGCCTCGAGCAGAAGGTCGAGTCATTGGAGCGGGAGAAGGGCGCGATGCAAGCAGAGTTGGAGGCGAAGGCAGAAGCACTCTCGCTACTACAGAAAGCGTTCGACGCACTGAAGATTACCGCCGCGACAACCGCAGCTGCGAGTGTGGGGGGGAGCGAGAGTGTGCCGCAGACGGCGATCGAAGAAACCACCCCACCACCACAGCAACCCCCTCAATCAACGCCCACTCAACAGAGCAAGGGCAGCCAGCTCGACCAAGCATTCTTCGACGCAGTGGTGTGGCCGTGGTGCAATAGCGAGACCGTGCGACAGGCGTGGTCGTACTGGGACGGGCCAAGCCCGCTGAACAACGGACACAGTCTTCGACACGCTTACAGGAGGGGTTTCGGCGCCAAGTTCAGCAAGTTCACTCCGACTCCTCCCACCGTTCCCCCCGTTGCGGTGGACCAGCCAAAAGAAAAGCCACAGACCCCAAAAGCTGTTGAGTCGAAATTGCGGAAGATGGAGGTTGTCATGAGGGTCGTCGAGATATTCAGGGTCGACGACAGCAGCGCGGCTACGTCGACGATCATTGATAAGCTTGACTCAATAGTCACGAACCACTCGATCAACATGCTGGCTGAAGGGCTCGTTCTCAAAGAGGATTCGGGGAAGCAGCTCACGAAGAAGCGCAAAGTCGAGACAGCAGAAGACAACCGGAAGGACAAAGATCGCCTCAGGATCACGCGGGAGCTCATTCGCGTCGAGCTTCGAACCACGAAATGGGCCGAGAACGTGCTCAAAGACAAATGGAAAGAGTTCATGAAAACATTGGGCGAGAGCCCAAGTTCGACGAGGGGGGAAACTAGAGTAGGGTGTTCTTTCAGAGATTGCATGGCAGGTTCTCATTACTGACCAACCATCTCGTCTGTATGAACCTTCTGAGCATTATCGCAAACGGAAAGTCAAGATCCATGCAACATGTACATGCTGTCGATTAAACTTTCGAAACAACAAACACAACTGTCGAGAATAGCAAACACCCCCACGCAAAGTGCCCGCCTAGACAACTCCCCTTGCCCGCTCGTTCCCGTCTCAGCTACATCCTCGACGCCCTGCTTCGCCTTGCTCTTTTCTTCTGGCATAGCCAGGCTGCCATAGCCCGCGTCCTCTAGCAAGCGGGTAGCAGCTCGACAGCAGCACCATTGCGTACAGACCTGTGCTGCCACGCGCAGCATCTGCAGCAATATGGCGTCCGTCGAGCCGAGACCTTCGACAACCGACGAATACAGGTGATCGGGCCACTGCTTCGCCGGGAACGTCTTGCCGACGTGCAAAAGTATGGACACGAGTGCGGACATGGCAGCCACACAAGCCTTCTTTGCAGTCTCCGGGGCGTGATCGCCGCATTTGCGGCAGCTAGGGCATCCTTCTTAATATCCTCCCTCGACAACTTCCTGCAGGCCGCCCACAAGCTCGCCACAGTTGCTGCGATGGCCATCATGTGCGGTGTCGCCGCCATGCCCTTCGGGACCGGGTAAATCAGATTCCCGTGCTTCAGGCCAAGCGTCGCGACCTTACCAATCGCCACGCACAGCACGATTCCCCTCTCGGTTCCAGCTTTCACTTCCTTTTTTGCCGTCGCCAACAACGACAGGTAACTGCACATCGCAAGAAATGCGTTAGTCAAGAGGCCAGAATTCGACCGACAGCACATTCACCGCAAAACAGCAAGTGTTCGACAAATCACCAAAACAGCAGGAATTCGACAGCAAAGTCTAGCAACATGACTTCGACAGGACTTACTCGTCGAAACGACATTCCCCTTGTTCTTGCGCCACGCTCCAAACGCCGGTTGGCATTTGTGTGGCCGCATCGAGGTAGACCTTCCAGTCCTCCTCATCCTGCGCCGTGTACCCTTCGTACTCCGTAAGGACAACGTCGCAGAAGTACACGCGCCAGCAGACGGCCGTACAGACTTCTGGTCCTTCTCTGTTTCAAAAGTGCCAAGGAACCGCTTCCTCCCGCCGACGGTCTGCTCGGAAACCAGCTTCCCCTTCCGCAACCCAAAACCCGGTCCTTTGAAGGGACGTTTGCAGCCTCTCGTCTTGCCTCGGTCGTCCGGTCGAGGAGGTGGGGTGTGACCCGTGACCCTAGCCTTCTTCGCCTTTTCCTGTCGAGCAGCAACGACAATAGAGGTCTTCTCGACAGGCGCCTGACCAGGGACACTGGCCAGCTCCACCACGTCAAGGCTCTCTGTCGCGTGTGCAGCGCGCTTCGACGACTTCGTCGCAGCTGGCTTCTTCTTCGACGTTGAAGGGGAGCCCGGATCGCTAAGGCAAACGTTGCCTAGGGACGGAGCAGCGGCGACAGGAGCAATTGGAGGGGTTGAGGAAGACGCCCAATTTCCCACAAGCCCGACAGCAAGGCCAGCACCACCGCCGTGCGCAGCTGATGCCGCTTTAGTCTTCGACAGCAACCCAGCGCTTGCTTCTCCCGCTCCTTTCCCCGCCGCCTGACGGGGTAGAGGCACCTCGCATTCCTAGGGCTCTGTTCCCGGTCGAGGCGACGTGCTCGTTCGGGGCACCACTTTTCTCCCCCGCGACCACTCCTTTCCCACCCGTTTTCCCCAGGCCTTGCAGCATGTCCCGCATCGAAGCAAACGCATTAGGTGGATCGATCGGAGCCGCTACGGAGGTCTTCGAGAGGGCTGACTGGTCGAGTACGATGACTTTGGGGATGGGCTTGGCGACGGGATGACGGCCACGCGCCGGTGGGGATCAAACCGGGCTGCCGACATGTCCTCCCACCGAAGAAGATGGAGGAACCGACCGCTCGTGACCTCAAGGCTCAGCCCCGCTGCAAACCCCTCCCACACCCTCCTGACGCGACCTCGTCGATGGGCCCGCCGAGCGCTGAAAACCTCTTGCCATCGCTTCGGTGAGAACTTCCAACCTCCCTGCTTCGGCTTCATGGTAGCCTTCCCTCACAATGTCCTTCAGCTCCTTCATGGTCTCGGGTGGGAGGGTGGAGCAAAACATGTCCTCCATGATGGCTTTCTCGAAACCTTTCAGCACCGCAGCAACCAGCCGCTCCTCGACCTGCTTGAGCTGCTTCTCGACGGCGTCCTCGCTCGCTTTTGTGATGGCGGCTGCCACCCCCTCGATGATCTTCCCGCTCATCTCGTCGATCTTCGCCCGCGCCCCTTCCAACAGGTTCCTCTCCGCCGTGACACCCTTCACAGCCTCGGCGCACTGCGACAGTGTGCTTTTCGACGACTCCGAAATCGTATTCCACGCCGTCCGAAAATCCGCAGCAAGCCTGTTGAATACTCCGGCTTGCTCAGTGTGTTTCGCAAATACATCGGCGACAAGCTGCTTCTGCGACGCCTCGACCTTCTCGACCCTTTGCAGTAGCTTGACGACCCGGCCTCCGGGTGCAACGTTCGCCGTCGATTGGCCTGCCGTCGAAGGCCACCCTGTCGAAGGGCCCGCCTGTGCCTGTCCGCTGCCACTGGCCGTGCGGTGACTCCTTGTTACGGCGGCCTGTCGCTCATCTCCTCGACGATACTCCTCGGCAGCCTCCCCGTCCTCCTGCTCCTGCCCTCCCGACCCACCCACCCGCGCAGCCGCAACCCTAAACTCCTGCTGCTGCACTCCTGCCCCACCCTCCTGCGCAGCCGCCACGCCCTCCTGCTGCTGCCCTCCTGCCCCGCCCTCCTGCGCAGCCGCCTCGCCCACCACCTGCTGCTGCCCTCCGACCCCACCCTCCTGCTCAGCCGCTCCGCCCTCCTGCTCCTCGACAGCCTTTGTTTCCCCTGTCGCCTGCTGCTCGATAAGCTCTACTCGCTCATCCACCCGCTCCCCGAGCGCCTCTCCATGCTCCCCCGTACGCTCCGTTCTATGACCGGCGCCCTCGCCGTCGTCCTCAACCGACTCATCGCTCGAGCTCGAGCCGGAGCTCGATCCCGAGCTCGAGTCCTCGTCCTGGTTCGCATCACCACCCATGCCACTCACCCCGTACTCAGCCTACCTCGATGTATCCTCCTCGATCTCCTCCTCCTCCTCGACGCTGTACTCAATCACGACACGTCCCGTCTTCTCGCCTCCTCCCTCGTGGTCGGCACCCCCTCCCACACCTGCTCACTCCGCCAGCTGGTCGATCTTTCTCGAAAACAGCTTGACCATGAACAACGGAAGCACACCTGCGCCAGGGTTCGTTCTCCCTAGAGGCACGAGTTCGCCCTTTCGAGGCTGTAGGATGAAGTCGTCCCATTTCGACAGAATCCGGCGCACCCCATGCACGACACGAGCTGCCGCACCATTTTCATAGGGGCTCGACAAGGCCATCGTCGTCTGCGACGGGTACAAAACATACGTAAGCGACAAAACAAATGCTCGACGAAAACGCTGGTGGTCTAAGGAGAGCTTACCAGATGGTCGAAATCCTCGTTCAACTCCAGACGAAGGTCCATCACGTTCAACACTTCTTGGTCGTCCTCGGTCAGAGCCTGGTGGGTCATCGCGTACTCGACGCGAAGCTGCTTCTTCATCCACCTGCGACGCAGCGGACAGAAGAGTAAGATTGTCAAGAACAGCAGCTCGAGAGCAGGGTTGCAAAGCTATCACTCACACAAAAACTTATTGCACCAGAGAAGATTGGTGGTTCATATCGGGAAACTTGTCTTTCGAATCGAAGTGCATCATTCGAGTTCGATTGCCACAGTGCCTCGGAGCCAGCAGATCATCGGGGCGCGATACCACAAACAGGCTCGAGTGGGAGAACGGAGGCACACTCAGTCTGCATGCAGAGCCAATGCACGTGAGAACGGGTTCAGGGCTAAAGACGGAGCACGCAAGGCGACGGGAGAGTGTCGAACTCACGGTGTCCGCAGCAGAACGAAAACCACTTGCTTGCCGAGGAGGCCGTCGAGGTGGTTGTTCGCAAAAGCGACCGGGGTGGGACGGGCCATCTCTTCACGCGCACGCGCCGGAGTCACGATCGACACCTTGGGGAGCTGCTCGACGGAGAGCAGCTCATGACAGAACACGCTGCACGGAAAGCTAAGTCAACGTCAGCGATAGGTAAACCGAAACATGGCAAACCGAAAATGATCGACAGGACACGTACACGACGCCCGCGACCATCATGCTCTCGTCGAGCTCCCCGTTCGGCGCCTCTCTAATCGCATTCAGCTGGTCCTCGTACAACTCCACCTCGACCCCGCCTGCACTAAGGATGAGGCCGCGTCGAACCGTTGCCTCGTTCATGACGGGTACGGAGGCGGGGCCCGTAGCCATGTCTGTTCTAGCAGTGGAGAGGGCGGACGCGCAGGGGAGTTGGGAACTAGCAGGGACTAGGAAGTAGGGAAGCAAAAATCGGAAACAGCAACAAAATGAGACCGGACGTAGGGTATTAGCTGTTTGCCATCCCTCCCACCGCGACGGACCAGGGGGTTCAAGGACGAGGAGGCAGGGCGCGTTCCGAGACGCGGGAGGAGGAGGGAGGAGCTCTTCGTGGAGGCCGGCGGGGCCCTATTGGCCTCGACTGAAGGAATCTATTAGAGAGCGTAGCGATAACGAGAGAGTTTCTGCTATGGGAATGATGTTGCGCCAGCAACTTGGTAGAGTTTCGGTAGCATTTGCCTCTAAGGACTTGGTGAGAATTGAAGTAGCATTTTGGACTTCACTAGGAACATATAAAATTATATATATCAAACACACAAGCAACACAAACATATATAGGCAGGCGAGGGTTTCACAAGAGGTTGCGTGGGCGCTGCGAGTAACCCAACCCCACGAAAGTGGTGTGTGGGTGAGCGAACGCGCCTCGCCAATTTCTCAACCCAACTCAGCATCGACTTCTCGCTTCCGTGCACACCACTCCACCAACCTAGCAAAGAGTGGTGCGACTCTCAAGGAAGCACCAACAACTCCCACGGACTCTCACTTCTTCATGCGACCTCCATCGAACTCATTCGTCGGTGCCGAGTAGACTCAGTCGCTAGGCGTCGACCTGCCAAGTCAAAGGTCATCGAGGGCCCTTGCTGTTGTAGGGCCCTCTAACACTCCCCTGCCATACTACAGCAAGGCCCTTTATAATCACAGGGCATGCATACACACGTACACGCCAAAACAAAGGGAAACACACACAAACGAAGCACTCTCAAAGTGCAAACACGCACCGCACCAGCCATGGATAGGCCATGGCACCATCCACATCATGGAGTGTTTAGGTCTCACCCCCCTCACTCGAAAGCCTCACCTGCCCCACAGCCTCGAAGCAACGACTGAAGGCGGGGAAATGCAGTGCCTTCGTGAGGTAGTCAGCAGGCTGCTCGCTCGTAGGGATGTACTGCAACTGCAGCTTCCTGCGCTTGACCATGTGCTGCAGCCACATGTGGCGACGCTCCATGTGCTTGAGGCTCCCCTTGAGCCCCATGCCACCTGCCACTGAAATGGCGGAGGAGTTGTCCACAAAGAGAGTAGTGGGCTCCTCACTCCTCAGCAGTTGAAACTCTGCCAGCAGGAAGCGCAGCCTGCGCGCCTCCTTCCCGGCCTCCACAGCAGCAACATACTCAGACTCAGTGGAGGAGAGGGTGGCGCAACGAATCCTTTGGCTCGCCCATGAGACAGCAGCACCCCCAAGCACGAAGACATAGCCACCTGTGCTGGTCCTGTTCTGCTTGTCCCCTGCATCATCAGCATCGGCGTAGCCCACCAGCTCCAAGGACTCCGGCCCACCACCAAACTCCAGCGCCACATCCCTGCTCCCCACCAAGTACGTCAAGCACCGGTCCAACTCCTTCCAGTGCTGATCACTCCGCACAGTCTGGCCCGACCCCAGCTTGCTGCAGGCAAACGAGATGTCGGGACGGGTGGTACAGGCCGCGAACTGCAAGGATCCCACCTTCTGCCTGTACTCCTCCTCCTGGCGAGACTGCCATCCCACATCCTCGAAGGTCTGCACACTGAAAGGGTCAGAGGAAAGAGGGGTGCGAGGCACTCGCAGCGGCTGCTCCCCGTCAAAGAAGCGCCTATGAACCTTGTCCACATAGGCCCTCTGGTGCAGCCATAGCCTCCTCGTAGGCCTGTCCCGAATCAGCTGCAACCCCAGATACTTCTCCACAAGGCTAATCTCCCGCAGCTGAAACGCACTCTGCAGCAGCTCACGCAGCTCCCCAAGCATGCTCTGACTGCGGCTGGCAGCAAGCAGGTCATCCACATACACCAGCAGCCAGCACATCTCCCCCTCAGCATCAGTTTTGAAGTACAGAGCCTCATCCACCTTGCTCTTCTTCCATCCAGCCCCAAGCAGCACCCCATCCAAGGCCTCATACCATAGCATCGGGCTCTGCTTGAGCCCATACAGACTTTTCACCAACTTACAGACACGAGGAGTCCCATCCTCGTAGTAGCTCGGCTGCTCCATATAAAGGTCTCGGTCCAACACGCCATGGAGGAACGCATTCTTTACATCGAGCTGCATCAGGTCCAAATCAAGTGCAGCTGCAATCGCCAGAAGCACACGCGCCGTCACATAGCTTCCCACAGGGGCGTACGTCTCCTCATAGTCCACCCCTGCCACCTGCGTGAACCCCTTCACCACCAGCCTCGCCTTCTCACGCTCCACTATCCCATCAGGTCGGAACTTGGTGTTCAAAATCCATCGGTTCTTCATCACATTCATCCCTGGTGGACGCGGAACCAACTCCCACGTCCCCTGCTCAATCAAGCTCCGCATCTCTTCATCCATCGCCTCCTTCACCTTGTCGCCCTTCCAGCAGCCCAAGGCCTCCTTCACTGTCATTTTCGCTATGTCCCACTGCCTCTCAGGATCAGCTGCAACGTCCGGGTCCAGGTCAGTCCACTCCTCGTCCTCCTCCTCGTCATCCAAGCCCGCTGGCTCAACCACTACAGCCCAAGCGTATCGAACAGGCGGGACACCACGAGTGATGCGAGTGGAGCGACGCACTGGTGCAGTGGTCGTCCCAGAAACCAACACACGACCACCATCTCTAATTCCCCACATCTCTTGCTTCCCTGTCTGCGGCTCCCCTGTCTGCTGCTCCCCGAGCTGCTGGTCCACCATCTGCTGCTCTTCAATCCGCTCCTCCCCTATCTGCTGCTCCCCACTCTGCTGCTTCCCTGTCTGCTGCTCCCCAATCTGCTGCTCCCCTGTCTGCTGTACTCCATCCATACTGCTCTCGTCCTGCAGCTGCTCAGTCTCAAGGCGCTGCCCGTCGGTGATCTCCACAGACGGTGGCACCTCCATCCCCCCCTCACCAACGGGCGGCGCCGTGGAAGACGAAGAGGAGGGCGGAGCAGGTGCAGGAGGGATGGAGGGTGAAAGGGGGGATGGAATAACAGGAGGAGGAGGGGAAGGCAAGGGGGGTGAGGAGGAAGAAGGCGGGACAGGGGGAATCACACGAGGGTAGACGGAAGGCGGAGGTGGGGTGGGGACCGAGGTAGGGACATAGGGCATAGCAGGAGGTGCAACCACCTCCTCCTCCTCCTCCGCCTCCTCGAGAGTGATCGGGAAGAGTGAGGGAAGGGGCTCATAGGGCATCGAACGCCCCCCATGCTCCTGCTGATGCCAAGCCTTCCATCCTGCTAGGGACATGGTCTCATAGAACACAGCTTCCACAGTGGTGATGAGGCGGTTGGACTCCAAGTCCAGCACGGTCCAGCCTTTGCTCGCAGCTGACACACCCAAGTGCAACCCCCAGCGAGCCTTAGGCGCCAGCTTCCCCCCACGCCGCGACCGTGGTACCATGTACTGCAGCATGCAGCCCCAAACACGCACCATACTGACATCAGGTTTGCGTCGGAAGGCGAGCTCGTACGGCGTCACACCAGAGGGTAGTGAGGCGTGCTCCACGCGGTTGCGCACCCAGACGGCCTGAGCCAACGCCAGGTGCCACCAGTGATGCTGCACACCCATGTGCAGCAACATCGTCCGCACCGCCTCCACAATGCTGCGCATCTCCCTCTCGGCCATCCCGTTCTGCTCTGGCGTATACGGGCATGTGAGGTCATGGATGATGCCTTTACCGTCGAGGAAGAGCGTGAAGTCGTGCCCCAGGAACACGCCACCCCGATCAGTGCGCAGCGCCTGCACCGTGGTCTTGCACTGTCGCTCTGCCATCGGGAGCCACTTTTGGAACGCCGCCAGCGCATCACTCTTCTGGGCCAAAGGGTAGACCCAGACATATCGCGTCTTGCGATCCTTCAGCACCAAGAAGTAGCGGCTGCCGTCCTTAGCTGCTTCACGGAAAGGGCCACACAGGTCAGCATGCACCACCCCGAGCAACTCATCCTCCTCCTCTCCCACAGAAGGAAAGGTATGACGAGTGATCTTTCCCCCAACACAGGAAACACAAGGTATGCCTGACTTGCCCCCCTTCTCCAAATCCAAGCCCTTCACTGACCCGTGAGCCGCTGTGCGCTCGATGGCACCAATACCAACGTGTGCCATACGCGTATGCCACAGGTCCCCCTTAGACCGCACGCCCGTCGCCAAGGTACGAAGTGCCACCGTTTCGCCTTCCTGCTGCTGCATCGAACACGGCTGGAAGTTCGTGCAGAGAACACGCCCCTTGAACTCCGCGCGACCAAGGAGCGATCCATCTGGTGCCCGCAGCAAAGTTACATCCCCGGCATCCAGCAACTGCACACCACATTCACGCAGCTGCCCAGCAGAGAGAAGACTCGCCTACACTCCTGGTACGTACAGCACGTCCGGCACCAAGACACGCCTGCCCCCCTCTCCAAGAAGAGCGACTGTGCCCCGCCCCTGCACCTCCTGAAGCGCGCCGTTGAAGCCAGTAACCTGTTTAATACTGCCGCCGCTGCTCATCTCCACAAAGGCAGAACGATCTCCCATGAGATGGTGGGAGCATCCGCTATCAAGCAGCACGACGCTCGGGTTCGCCTTCACAGCAGCTGCAACAGCCTGTAAGGCCTCCCCGCCCTCAGGCTCTTGCACAACGAGAGGAGTCTGCTCCACAACGGGCTTCACCATCGCACATGATGATTGCCCGCTCCCCTTAGAGCCATCACCCCCCTTTCCGCTGCTACCTCCAGAACCCTCTCCACCGGTGTCTGCCTCCTTATCCGCTCGCTGCTGACAGTACTTAGCAACATGCCCTATTTGTCCACACACATAGCATTTCCCTTTGAAGCCCCCTTTCCCCCCCTTCGTCTGGCCATCTTTACCCCCTTTCCACTTCTCCCCTCCCCCACTAAGCCCACCCCCATTCTTAGGTTGTTGCTGCTGTGCCGTAGTGGGAGGGGAAGGGAACGAATTTTGCTGGAATTGGGGCTTACCCTTCTTGGTAAAGACCTGGTTAGCCTGGGGAAGGAATTGGTCCTTTCGTCCCTCTGACGCCAGCGTACATTCCTCCTCGATGATGTAGCTAGCGAGGGTGTTCTCGTCCAACTCCTTGCGCACCTGCGGCAACTTCAGCATCCTGCGTAAGAGGTTGTACTGTTGCGGCAACCCCTTCACAACGTGAGTGATGTACGACGCCTGCGAGTAATCTACGCCGGCCATCCTCAGGTTCACTAGGATCTGCTGCGCACGGTTGCAATAGGACGTAGCGGACTCATGCTCTCCCATCTCGAGGTTAGTGAGCGCCTGCTCTAACTGACCGATGTACAGATCGTCCTTCGCCATGTACGTGCGCATAATAAACTGCCATGCCTGATAGCCGGCATCAACCTTCATGCGACACGCCTTAAGGGCGATTTGTACGGTTGGGGAGCAGCATCGGGAAATAGTGGTGAATGTCAGCAACTGCATCGCGCGGAACTGAGAGAGATGCGCAAGCGCACGCGCTGGTGGAATAGGGGTGGTGCCATCTATGAATCGCTTTAGCTGAGCGATCTCAAGCTGCGGCTCGATTGATTCTGTCCACGTCGACAGGTCGTGACGTCCTTCTAACGGACTAGTGACAACGATCTTGTCTGGAGTGAATCTGAAGTAGCCATAGTTGGGGGCTATTCCCTCGTCCCTCGACATCGATCCAATCGGGGTAACGCCCGGCATAGTCTCACTATCGAACTCTTCCGCAATTCCTCCCCCAGCAACGCTTCGCCGTCCTACATTCGCATGCTCTCGTGACGCTGCTGCACGATGAACACGCTCCTGTACACCGCCGACGCTAGCCGTACTAAACCGAGTTGGTCTTCGCAGGACCCCACGCGACATCAACCCATCAAACTCCTCGTCATCGCTATTTCCGCCATCGACAGCCATATCCCACGCACTAGTACCTCCCGCAACTTGCTCAACATTCTCTACACGTGGGGAAGGGTGCTCACGACGCCGACGCGAGCGCAATCCCTCCAACATTAGCTCGTATTCAATATCACTAATCTCACCACGAGAATGACGAGCCACGAGATCCTCCTCTAGAGTGCGCAAATTACCGGCCTCCACGTTCGCCTCCTCAGTACTCATCCTCTAGGACGTCTCTATAAGGTACCACAAATTAAAATAAAGTGCCCCTTCCTTAAATCCCTCGTCTCGGGGTCACCTCACAAGGGTCCTCAGACGAGTGGTAATAAATTACCAAACGCCCTATCCTTGGGTCCGAGAACGTAACTGGAGGGAAATCAAGAGAGGTTCAACTTAGATTAATAAGCGCCCTTCACTAACGCCGCACGCCAAGGCGAGTATACGAACGCGAATATCAACGACGACGGAAATCTATGCGTGTTCGTTCCACGCTCACCGCACCATGAAGGAATCTATTAGAGAGCGTAGCGATAACGAGAGAGTTTCTGCTATGGGAATGATGTTGCGCCAACAACTTGGTAGAGTTTCGGTAGCATTTGCCTCTAAGGACTTGGTGAGAATTGAAGTAGCATTTTGGACTTCACTAGGAACATATAAAATTATATATATCAAGCACACAAGCAACACAAACATATATAGGCAGGCGAGGGTTTCACAAGAGGTTGCGTGGGCGCTGCGAGTAACCCAACCCCACGAAAGTGGTGTGTGGGTGAGCGAACGCGCCTCGCCAATTTCTCAACCCAACTCAGCATCGACTTCTCGCTTCCGTGCACACCACTCCACCAACCTAGCAAAGAGTGGTGCGACTCTCAAGGAAGCACCAACAACTCCCACGGACTCTCACTTCTTCATGCGACCTCCATCGAACTCATTCGTCGGTGCCGAGTAGACTCAGTCGCTAGGCGTCGACCTGCCAAGTCAAAGGTCATCGAGGGCCCTTGCTGTTGTAGGGCCCTCTAACATCGACGTGAAACCTGGTTGTTGGTAGCATGGGGTGGGCAGCCTTGCATGCAGCTGAAAGGCCCCTTCCAAGATTCGGGAGGGGGCCTTCGACACGGCGCCAAGATCGAGAACGAAACAGGCCCGTCTAGGGCGAGAGCGGTGGAGCGCGGCGCAGATGGGCGTCGCTTTCGTCTGGCCGGCGAAATTTCGCGGACTGGTTCCGTCGGCGATGCGTCGCTCGGCGAGGGATGGGTGGGTTACCGGACGGAACCCGTCCACGAACCGAGTGAGGGGTTGGGCTCGGTTGGGAGGGGGACCACTGCCAGCTCGAGGGCGCGGGCTGCTGGCGTCATCGCCAGCTGGGGGTGCCCGTTTTGGGGCAGGAGGGGGGGGGGGGTGGCTCTCGCCCCTCGCGTGCCCCGCTAGGCGACTGCGGGAAAACGAAAATCCCTCCGAGGAAAACCCGCAGGGGCGAACGGGTTTTCGCGGAGGGATTCGGGCGAGGTCTTCCCAACAATCAACAAAACTGTGGGAATCTCAGAATCAGCCTGTTCGAACCTAGGTCGTTTCACAAGCCTTATGATTTCCTGCGTTCCTGAAACGTAAGCTCGAACATCCTCTGCTGAGGTCGTTTTGTGTCCAGATATCAAGGTTGCACCGTTTTTTCTCGTCGCGCAGAAAGGATAGCTAATTCTGCTTGTCTCTCTCAGGTTCATGGCGAATCAGAAGCAGCGTAGCTCTCTCTATTCAGCTGGTCACAGCGATGGTAAAGGTACTTTGCACAGCACTGCTGCCACTGGTACGAACCCAGCAATCGCCAAGGTACTATTCGCCAAGTATCTTTCGGGAAGGAGGACATTTTTGGGACAGATTTGGGAAACCTCTAAATCACTTGCGGGGAGGTCATTTTGGGGGGAAGGGTTTGGGACATCAACTTTTTGGTGATGTGGTAACAGTCCGACTCAAAGATTCTCTATCCTCACGGATTCAGGAATTTTGTGATACAGCTTTTCTGAAATTCCCCCAGCGGCGAAGCCAGTGAACGAAAACAAACAGTGCAGTTTCGGGCATTTGCGACTTCTCGCTCCCAGGAAACGCCCTCGTTTTTCTTCGCCCACCCAAACACACCTTCAGGAGATCGTCGCAGCGGCTCGTAACTTGCAACCAAGGATACAGTAATTCGACCAGTTCGATTCTGATTGCGCATTGGTTGCAAATCTCATAGCACGCTGCGATCTGACACATGAAACACAGGCGGGAGAAGAACAAGTTTTCGGGTTTCCTGAAAGGCTCCCTAGAAACACATCATATTCCACACTCAGTTCTTAGAATATAGATCTAATAAACGAGGCGCTAATGCATGCCTAACCCCCAACGCAGCAAGAGATTGGTTGTTAGAGCCCTTCGTAATCGAGCCCGCTGTTGGTGCGTCCAACATTCAAAGAAGTATCGTTCCGAGCCAGATTCCGAATTGGAACCATTCCAAACCATTCCAACAAACCCTGCACGTTGCGGAATCTGAGCCTAGCGGAACGCGGAGGGCGCACGGGAGGGGAGGGACGGGGGAAAAGGGGAGGGACGCGGGGGAAGGAGGGGGACGAGAGCGGATGGCGGACTTGCAATTGACGGGGATTGCGGCAGAGAAGGGGTCGATCACAGAAATAATGGAAATAGCGGCTAAGAGGCCTCGCATCGAGGGCCAAGACAGGAAATCGGAAGGAGCGGAGGGTCCCACACCTTCAACTAGAACGTTACCTGAAGTTTCTAAGAAAGACGAGGCTGCTGCCGCGGTAGCAGAGTCGGTCTACATTGCTGGGCGATACTTAAAGGTGCCGCTTTCAACCTGACCTCCTCCATTATGATTAATCACTATGATTTACCCACCTAAATTTCTTTTTATGATTAATCACTATGATTTGCTCGTCAGAAACAGACAACCAACCTCTTTCCTGCCACTCCATTACAGACCAGAAACTCCTTTATCTCCCCTCCCCTTCCTTCCCTTCGTCCAAAACGTGTCCGTCCCTCGTCCCTTGGTCCCAGTATCTAAACCCCTCTAAACCCCTTCACTAAACCCCGCTAAATCCTGCTCCCACCAAACCCCCTCTTTCAAAACCCCTCCTCTCTTTCCTTCTGAAATAAGATCCCCTTTCTCCAAACCCCTACTGAATCTTGGAGGTGTGTGGCATTTTTCTCACACCCTGAACCCATTCCTTTGAGAACCCCCCTATTGTTTCACCTTCATCATTCAAAACCCCTTTCCCCTCCCCCCCCTCCCAACTCCCCCCTCCTCCCCCCCTTGTCCCCCCTCGGGTTCTCCATCTCGGTGTGGGTGGCAGTTCTCCCGCGCGCTGAGCCAGTCCCCATGGACGGTGGATGATGAGCAGATGGGAGATGGCTCTGTCCAGGTGCTTATAACGGGATGACTCTGTCCAGTTGCTTATAACGGGGATGGCCCTGTCCAGTTGCTTATACTGGGGATGGCACTGTGCAGGTGATTATAAGGGTGAAACAATAGCTCTTTGCAGGTGCTTAGCGATGGCTCCGTGCCAGTGCAGGTGCTTATTGCGGGGATGGCTCTGTGCAGGTGCTTCTAGCGGGATGACTCCGTGCGTGCAGGTGCGTATAGTGGGAATGGTTTCGTGCCGGTGCTTATAGCAGGAACAGCGCAGGTGCATATAGTGGGAGTGGTTCTGTGCCGGTGCTTATAGCGAGGATGGCTCTGTGCAGGTGCATATAGTGGGAATATTTCTGTGCTGGTTAGCCAGGATGACTGCTATTACGGGGATGGCTTCATGCCGCTGCTTATAGTGGGGATGGCTTCACGCAGGTGCTTATAATTCGGTTGGATCTGTGCAGTTGCTTATTACGGGAACTTATCATGGGTTATATTTCTTTGTGCACGTTTTCCAAAATGTGCAGGATCTAATAGCATCCCACCTGCTGCCTCTCCTCCAACCACTCTCGCACAAGTTCCAAGCCGCTGGGCGTGAGGACATTGATGTGAGTGAGTGTTAGTCACCAAAGGATGTATTTTCCCCACACATACTTTTCCGCTTGTTGCGACCGATTAGAGAGAGTGAGAATCACGAACTGATGTGGTTTCAAACGTGCGATTTTGCAATCCTTGAGTAACCTTTCGTACAAGAATGCAGTCGGCTACAATGCTAGGTGCTGAGGATGCACTCGGGATCATGCCAGAGAACGCTCGCATTGCAATCAAGAATTTGGGGGTGAGTGGAGGTATCAATTATACTGTTTTCTGTATGCATGCTAGGGGTGGTTATATGCTTTCATTTTCGCCATCTATTAGGTCCGTTAAAGCTCATCGGAACATTGCGTACTTCTTCTATCGTCTTCTTATTGTACTCTCTTCCATCTCGCACTCTTATGCCTCCTCAAGTCCATGTTATAAATGATGGTCACAATGTGTACTACCATTTCGTGTACCATGCCAGAATCATGCAGTACTCCACACTGATATTTTTTCATCGAATTCGTTAGCAATGATCACGAAGTCATGTTCTCGTTTCATTCCGAAGTCAGGGAAAAAATGTGCGGTGCGATTCACATCTATTCGCAAAAGCATGTAAAATAGATTCGCCGAGTTGATGTGAATAACATTGCAGACCTTTTCCTTGTCTTCGGTATGAAACGAGAACATGACTTTGTAATCATTGCAAACGAATTCGATTAATATCAATCAATGTGGTGGTATTGCGTGATTTCAGCATGTTGCACGAAATGGTAGTACGCATTGTGGTCAGCGTCTATAACATGGACCTGAGGCAGAAGAGTGCAGGATGGAAGGGGAGAAAGAGTGTACAGAGGGAAAATGATAGAAGAATTACACAATTTTCAGATGGGCTTAATCGGAATTGATAGATGGCGAAAATAAAAGCATTTAACCACCTCTAGCATGCATACAGAACACAGTAAAATTGGTACCTCCACTCACCCTCAAATTGTTGCAATGCGAGCGTTCTCTTGCATGATCCCGAGTGGATCCTCAGCACACCTAGTGTTGTAGCCGACTGCGTTCTTGTACAGAAGATCACTCAACAATCACATGCAATTTCGGAGAATTGTTAATAATCGCTCCAAAAGACATCAGTGTTCGTGAATCTTGACACATGATTCGCTCAACAATCTCGTTGATTATCACTTAGGGAGCATCAGCCTGTGGTTGAGGAGGCTAGTCAGAGGTGCCAGGCAGGTGCGTCAACATTCCCCCAACCATTTTGTAACGAGGTGACTTTTGAGTCGACTCAAAAACCACCTCACTGACTCGCTCACCAATCTCACTGATTCTCACTCAGGGAGCAGCAGCCTGTGGCTGAGGAAGCCAGGTGGGTGCGCCAATACCCCCCAACCCTTTCCTCTTCCCCCCCTCAAACGCACAGGTACGCATGCTGGGTTCGGGGCGGCCGTTTCTGTTGGAGCTCAAAGGGGCGAGGCGAGTGCCTACGACTGAGGAGGATACAAGGGGAGAGCACTCTCGATTCCCGTCCCACTTCCCCATCCCCTCCCGCCCCCGTCCGCTTCCCCCTCCCGTTCTTGTCCCCTCCCCCCTCCTTTCCACAGGTGCGCATGCTGGGTTCAGGGCGACCGTTTCTTCTGGAGCTCAAAGGGGCGAGGCGAGTGCCTATGGCTGAGGAGCTAGGGAGGATAGAGCTGGAGATAAACGAGCAGGAGAGGGGCAAGGTGAGTGATGGAGGTTGATTTAAGTGATGCTTGAGTTGATATATTAAGAGGGGCCACGCAGGTGCCTAGCGCTGAGGAGCTAGAGAGGTTAGAGAAGGAGATCAACGAGCAGGAGAGGGGCAAGGTGAGTGAGTGATGGAAGTTGACTGTTGAGTGACTGTGAAACAGTCTTTACACGTGTGAAACACATTCCATGCCCTTACCGCCCATCTCTCTACCGCCCATCCCTCTACCGCCCATTCTCTTAGGTGGGCGTGTGTCAACTGCAGCTGGAAGATTCACGCGTGCGCGCTGATGCGGCAGGAGGGGGCAGAGAGGCCTTTTGAGGTTTCAGGCGAATCACATTTCATGCCCTCCTACTTCCCATCTCTGTACCGCGCATCCCCCTAGGTGGGCGTGTGTCAGCTGCAGTTGGCAGATTCACGTGTGTGCGCGCTGATGCGACAGGGGGAGGCAAGGACGGCAGTTGAGGCTTCACACAAACCAAATTCCATGCCCTTACCACCCGACCATCTGTCTCCCATCCTTCTACCGCTCATCCCCCTAGGTGGGCGTGTGTCAGCTACAGTTGGCAGATTCACGTGTGTGCGCGTTGATGCGGCAGGGGGAGGCGGAGAAGCAGGTGAGTGGGCGAGGAATGAATGTGGGCGGGTTGTTGGGGGGACAAGAGAAGGAAAGGGAGGGGACGCTGTGCATGAAAGTGGGGGTAATGTGCCAGTTAGGACTTCATCGTGAAGTGGATGGGATGACCGTTGATCCACAGTGTGGGTTATGGGGCTGGATGCATAAATATGGAAGCATGTGTGTGTGTGGGGGGGGTGTGGATGGGTTGTGTGTGACAAGTGATTTTCACCATTCTTCCTTATTAGCACCTGCTAAATACTGTTGTCTTTATGATGCAACTTACACTGCAGAAATCCTACGTGGCAGTGGTGTGGATCTCTCGACCAATCACACAAGCTGACGTGACGAAACTGGAGAGCATAAAAGACCTGGTAGGTGCAATTTGCAGCTCCCGCCCTTCTGCTTTGTCGCTGCATTTCAAAGTAGATGCGCACTTTTGTCTTTTTTATTGATTGAAATTCTTGGATTTTCCTTTTCCTGGTTTCAGTTTTCCCTTCCATGGCGCAATCTGCAATAGCGCAGCGCAAGCATATGAAAGAACCAAAGCCTAAACGTTGTTAGCCAATCCAATGTTGGAAGGAGGCACACATGAAGAACATGGAAGAATGTGCACCTTCCTGTTTAATTTCTCTTCTCTCGTTTTCTTTTCCTTCACCTGAATGCATCTCTTTCTTTATCTCTCATCCCAGCAGGAGCTGCAGCAAAAGACCCCCATACGAGTGTTACACAGACGAAGCCCTCTCACTCGCCCTCGAACCATCTACAGGTGATAGAGCAGTGCAGAATGCGCATGATTCCTCCCATCACTCACCTTCTCTCCCTTCACCACAGCAGTTTGTGGTGCCATTTATTTCACTTTCCCCACCCGCCTTCCTTCCCTGCCTAATCGCTACGTCTCGGAGTATGACTCCTCACAACTTTCCCCTTCCGCAATTTCCCCCCCTTTCCTCCCTTCACCACTGCAGCATGCAGTGCCATTTGGTGCCGTCAAACCCACATGTGTTCCTCCTCCACCTCACCACTCAGGCAAGTCATACAGTGTGGTGCCACATGGTGCTGCATGGTGCCACACGATGCCCTATGGTGTTACGTGGTGCCATGAGGTGTCATCTGGTGCCATCGAACCCGCACGTGTCCCTACTCCATCTCACCATCCAGGCAAGTCATACAGTGCGGTGCCACATGGTGCCACATGGTGCCATCAGGTGCCGTCAAGCCACATGAGTTCCTCCGCCACCTTGCCACTCTTGGGTAGGTCTAGCTGGCTTGGCATATAGATTCCCAATCAAAGAACAATACCCGAGCCATACAATCCCCAACTAACATATGCACAGTCCACCACACACTAGTAATCTTCATCTCTTACCCGTGCCTCTTCCTTCTCCTCCTCCTTCTGCTGCTATGGCTGCTTCTGTGTATGTGTGTGGCAGGCGGGAACCTATGTAAAGGAGTTTGTGCATGGTGATTTCGGCCGGACACAGCCCAAGTAAAGAGCCCCCCTTACCTGTACTCTCTTGCCTGCTCAAGGTCTTACACTCTTGTGTCTGCTCCTGTTCATTCATGTGTCATCGTTTGTTCTTACACTCTTGCATTCCATTTCATGGCCATTCCCTGATATGCTGCCCCCATTCCCTGATATGCTGCACCCATTCCCTGATATGCTGCCCCCATTCCCTGATATGCTGCCCCCATTCCCTGATATGCTGCCCCCATTCCCTGATATGCTGCCCCCATTCCCCTGCCTTTGTGCGCTCTCTCCCACTTCACCCCTTGCCTGCTGCACAGCATCGGGTCACTGCTGGGCTGTGAAGCTGATATTATCCAGCTCGACGTGGTAGATGTGAAAATGGATTTCCTCTTGTAACTGTACCATACCATATCTAATTTTGTTACTGTGGCTGAGGAGAACATAGCTTTGATAAGAATCAATCAGAGTTTGCAACGAGTGAATTCAATGCACCAACCTTTGCTATATGACCAAGGATCCATGGCACAACAAAACTACTTCAGAGTCGAACCCTACTTTAGGGTCGAACCAAAAGGTCTCTTAAAATCAATGCCACTCCACTACTGGCCTTGGTGTGTCCTTTGCACGTGCTCTCTCCACCACTGCATCGCAAGCAGCACAAAGAAAACAAAGGGCAGACGCAAGCCCCATTCAATGATATACCTGCACCTGGCATACGGTGACTTTTGGGTCGACTCAAAAGTCACAATGGACAGACGCAAGCCCCATTCAATTATATACCAGCACCTGGCATGCGTGGCGTGGCGTACCTACCTACCTAGCCCGGTGTGACAGAAGTCTCAAGACATTTGGATTACCGTGGTCACTAGTCGGCCAACTGAGCTTGCTGCAACCGTATCTACCCACCTTTTCATTTGACAAGCGGCACACATGGCGCCATGCCACATCCCAGCAGCCTTCCCTCCTCTTTCTCAGCCTTCCCTCCTCTTTCTCATGGGACTCGCCTTTCTCCACACACTAACCACTTGATCTGAGTACAACAAAATATACTACGACATGCTAATACGGTAGGTGTGGGCTTACAAGCATTGCATCAGCACCCTACTCTCATCTCTCGCATGGGAATATTATTCGAGGCGCCTCAGAAGCGATCTTTGAGGCGCCTCAGAAGCGGTTCTTTAGGCGCCTCAACGGTGGGGTTGCAACCATTGCATCAGCAGCACCCTACTCTCATCTTTCGCATGGGAATATTATTCGAGGCGCCTCAGAAGCGGTTCTTTAGGCGCCTCAACGGTGGGGTTGCAACCATTGCATCAGCAGCACCCTACTCTCATCTTTCGCATGGGAATATTATTCGAGGCGCCTCAGAAGCGGTTCTTTAGGCTCCTCAACGGTGGGGTTGCAACCATTGCATCAGCACCCTCCTCTCATCATCATTCACGTGGGAATCCCGTGGCCTGTAAGAGATCATTTGTATTCAACCACTCACCCGTGTGCTGCAACAAGGCATTGCGTGTCTTTTGAGGCGCCTCAAAAGCAGACGAGAGTGTTGAAGGTGAGGGACGTGTTGTTGATGCTGGGAGCATGGCACTGGCTGGCCTGCGACTTTTGAGGCACCTCAAAAGTCATTCACGTGGGAATCCCCGTGGTCTGTAAGAGGTCATTTGTATTCAACCACTCACCCTGTGTGCAGCAACAAGGTATTGCGTGTCAAGGGGATGGGTGCGCACGTATTCCATTCTGTCCGCTTCCTCTCGCCCCCGGGACCACCAGGTTATGTTGTCATGCTCCTTCATTATGAGGGTGCACTCCTTGATGCCCTGCCTGATTATGCCCTGGAGGAAAGTCAACAGAGGTCAACGAGAGTCAACACTATGACATCCTCCGTTATGTTGTCGTGCTCCTTCATTATCAGCGTGCACTCCTTGATGCCCTGCTTGATTATCCCCTGAGAAACAGGTCAACAGAGGTCAATGGAAATCCAGTCAACAGAGTCCAGTCAACAGGATTCAACAAGAGTCAACAGAGGTCAATGAGGGGTCAATTATTTCTGGGATCCTTGGTATGCTGTCATGCTCCTTCACTATCAGCGTGCTCTCCTTGATGCCCTGCTTGATTATGACCCGAGGTACAAGCCAACAGAGGTCAATGAGAGTCAACAGAGGTCAACGACTGTCAACAGAGGCCAATGAGAGTCAACAGAGGTCAACGCGAGTCAACAGAGGTCAGTTACACCCAAGGAAACTCTTCACCTATCTGGCAGTTATGTGCCTGTTTGGGGCGGTCAGTGGGCAGCCAGTCGCTGATCAAGAGGTTGCAACATGAACGCAGAGACATCACAGAGCACTCACGTGGAAGTGGTGGTGCCTGCCTGAGTGAGTGTGTCTGCGGGCAGGAATCCACTGGTCAAGGGGTTGCCACTTGAATGCAAAGCGAAGACATTTCAGAGCACTCACGTGGAAGCGGTGGTGCCTAAGAAGGTCCATAGACAGGTCTACACCTCCTTGTGGTGGGTCCCTGAACCACGTGTGCTTTGGGTCGACTCGGAACACAAAGCTGCCACAAAAGAGCACTCACATGGAAGTGGTGGTGCCTGAGAAGGTCTGTAGACAGATCTGCGCCCCCTTTAGCGGGATCCCGAACGCCGTGGTTCATCACAGCTCGCACCTGTGATGAAGAAACAGGAGGGAAGGACAAGGGGACCACAGGGCGATAGAACTTAAAGGTTTGCCGCCGCCAATAGTGGGTTCCTGAACCACGTGGTTCATCACTGCTCGCACCTGTGAAGCAGGAGGGGGAGAGAGGAGGGATCAAAGGTCAAGGCGTCTGAATGGTAACAAAGACGGTCTGCACCCCCTTTAGCAGCATCCCGAACCCCGTGGTTCATCACTGCTCACACCTGTGATGCAAGAAGTGGAGAAGGAGAGGGACCACAGGGTGTTCAGGATTAATATAAGGTGCCTCTTTTGCCCTCTCTGGGTTCCTGAACAAGAGCGTTAATCACTGCTCGCACATGTGCAGCAGCATGGGAGGAGCAGGGGGGCGACAGGTCGATTAGGGATTTTGGGAAGTTAGAGAGAAAACGAGCAAGTTTTCTGGGGTCCAGAAAAGGTTTGCGGTGGCCATAGTGGTTGAGGCACACGGTCGGCTTAGTGTGGTTGTCCATAGCTCTGCAGAAGACTATATGCTAGGCTCTTCCGAAATAAGCACAAATTTGGGGCCTTAAAAAGAAGGCAAGCCCACCCGTCTGGGGTCCACAAAGAGCTTGCGGTGGCCGTAGTGGTGCAGGCACACGGTGGGGTTGGTGTTGTTGTCCTTGGCTTTACAGTAGATCCCCGGCCCGTGCCACAGCATTCGCTCCAGCGGCCACCTGGGGTCTTCCGAATGGAATGGAAAAGAAGAAAGATGACGAGAGGACGGGAGCAGAGGAGAGACGGACGGACTAAGGGTTTGGTGGTGCAGCAGCATGGAGTGGTACAGCACGCCATGATGGAGCAAGTTAGCAGGCGGAAGAGAGATTGCCAGAGCCTAATTTTGAATCGACTCAAAAGTAGGCTCATCACACACGGTGCAGCAGCACGGAGTGGTAGAGCAGACAATGATGGAGCAAGTTAGCAGGGACCCATACAGGGCAATCGTTGTTTTAAGGAAATGCTGTCATGAGCAAGAAAATGCCGGCTATGGGATTCGAACTGGTGACCTTTGATGCGTCCCGAAGGTGTGTTTTGGGACAGATTTGGGACAAGATCCGCGAAGACGTCGTTTATGGCAAGGCAGGGTCTTGGGAAGGCAAGGCAGGATAGCACATACATTCTCAGCAGGGCAGCACATTCATCTTGGGAGGGTAGGGATGAGCACCGGACGAACATCAAACATGTTCGTCCGAACTGTGACGAACACACTCAGTGGGCGAACCGAACATGTTCGGTTCGCCCGAACACTTTTTACTGAAATCTTATTTTCGAGGTTCGCCCACTGTGGGCGAACCTACTAAAGGGGGCCGAACATCAGAGATGCGGCGAACCTACTAAAGGGGGCCGAACATCAGAGATGTTCGGGCCAACCCGAACATGTTCGGGTTCGCCCACTGCAGGAAGGGGGGGGGGGGGGGGGGGGGGGGGGGGGGGGAGGGGGGACCTGCTTCTGTTTTAGGGGTTATGAGCTTCCAGTGGGAAATTGGATGCTCATTACTTTACAGGTCCCACCCCTTGTACCCACCCTTAAACCATGGAACGGGTGTTTCAGAGCCGTGAAGAGGAACACTGACAACAAGGCATAGCTTAACTTAAACCGAAACCTGCTGGTACAGCCCTAAATAACGGCCTTAACACCCCATTGGTGCCTAACTAACAGTTGATGTGGGCGATTTAGTATAGGAAGGTACGTTGGGTGGCGCTTAGGCTAGATCAACCCTAGGAAAAGTAGATCGAGCTGAGAAACAGCTCGATCTGCTCTTCCCGTCCTTTTCGTATCCAACCGGCGCGACCTTGTCGAGCTGGAATTATCCCGAACATCAAAATGTTCGGGAGAACAGGTTTGATGCACGAACATGTTTGATGCACGAACATGTTTGATGCACGAACATGTTTGATGTTCGGGCACCAGACACGCGCGCGCCACGAACGCGCGAACATGTTCGGACCGAACCCGAACATGTTCGGGCGAACATTTAAACAAAAAAATGGAGGAAAGTTCGGTTCGCTCCCGAACATGTTCGGGCGAACCGAACGCATGTTCGCCATTTTGCTCATCCCTACGGGAGGGAAGCACAAAAATCTTCAAGAGGGAAGCACACGCATCAGTCAAGAGGACATACCGTCAGGGCCTTGGGAGGGCAGGCAGCGATCCAAGTCCCACCAGAGGCTGCCGTGAGTGACGTAGGGCATTCCCTCGTAGGGCATGAGGAAGTGATTCACGCTGAGAGGCGTGGGCATGCGCTCCTGAAGGAGTAATAGGGGGGTAGGAATGATGGAAATAACATCAGAGGGACGCCCTCACCAGGCATGCCTTTGTAGGGCATGAGGGAGTGGTGCACACTGAGCGGCGTGGGCATACGCTCTGGAGGAATGGGAAGATGGGATTCATGATAGGGCAGGCATGCCCTCACAACGTATCCCCTTGTAAAGTCCGCAAAGGGCATGAGGGAGTGGTGCACGCTGAGCGGCGTGGGCATACGCTCCTGAAGGAGGAATGGGGGGATATGATTCATGATAGGGCAGGCATGCCCTCACAAGGTATTCCCCTCGTAGGGCCGCAAAGGGCATGCCCTCATAGGGAACGCCCTTGCAAGGCATGAGGAAGTGGTGAATGCTGAGAGAGAGGCGTGGGCATGCGCTCCTGGAAGAGCCACATCGCGAAGGAGAAAGGTGGTGAGGGGAGAGAGGGGGACATGAGATGGGGGAATGAACTCTGGGCATGAGGAAGGAAGTGTATGCGCGCTGAGAGGCGTGGTATTGCCAAAGAGCCACATAAAAGAAGGGTGCATGAGGGGAGAGAGGGGGACATGAGAAGGGGGACATGAGAAAGGGGACACGAGAAGGGGGAAACAACTTTGGGCATGAGTAAGGCGGTGTATGCGCGCTGAGAGGCGTGGGATTGCTAAAGAGCCACATAAAAGAAGGGTGCGTGACGTGAGAAGGAGGAGAGGGGGTGAACAGGAACGCATGCATTATGTGCATGCAGTCCTAGCGGTAGATGAAGACACAGAAGTGGAAGTTGAGAGAAAGTGAAGGAGGAGCCTATTTTTGAGTCAACTAAAAAATAGGTATTATGTGCATGCAGTCCTAGTGGTAGATGAAGATGCAGAATTGGAAGTTGAGAAGAAGGGGAAGGACGAGTGCATACATTTTTTAGGCGCCTCATAAGGAGAAGTGCATACATGGCCACGAATGAATGAAACGAACCTCGTTAAAGCCAAAGAGAGGGAGGAAAAGAGCGTGTGCTTGCTTGCGTGCATACCCAACCCGGCCATCAACAAAGGTGTAGATGCAGGCGGCCTCTTGGAGAACATTGAGGTGGTTTTCCAGCCGCCTAAAAAAATGTCGAAGTCAAGGTGTGAATGTAGGCTTCTTGGAGAACAAGGAGTCGAGTCGGTGCAACAGACCTTGCAGGCTTACTCGTCCACCAATAGCAATGAGGTGGTCTAAATCAAGGAGAAAAGGGAGAGTTTCAGCGACACGTGCGTGCTTACTTGGCGGGGCCTCTGAACAGCTGAGCAGTGAGCATTTCTAAAAATGAGCTCGTCTAAGTCAAAGAGAAAAAGGAGAGTGAGCACATGTGTGCTTGCTTGGCGGCTTGACTGCCGACAAAGTCCATATGCATACTTACTTGGTCATAAACGAAAATGAAATCGCTGAATAATTGAATATTCGAAGTCAAGGTGCATGATCCACTTGGAGAAAGGGGGGTGAGTTGAGTGCGACCCTGCGTGCTTACCTGGCCATTGATGAAGATGAATTGTGGCCATCAAGGAGAAGAAGACGAAGTAGGAATGGGTACTTCATGATTCTTACCTGACCATTGATGAACATGAACTCGTCAAAGTCAAGGTACATGATCCACTTTGAGAGGTGGCGGAAGCGATACACACAGTCGTTTACCATCATCACCTGGTGGTGGGAAGAGGGGGGCGTGGAGAAGAGAAGAGAGGGAAGGGAATGTAGGTAAGGGGAGAGGACGGGCCTCTTAACAGCGGAGCATTTTTAAACAGCCCCCTCGATTGCCGGTGATACTAGGACTAATAGTTCACCAGATGACGAATTTTGAGTCAACTGCGAAGAGGCCCCTCACCTGACCGTGGTACCACGAATTTCCACCACGGCACAACAATTAGTCCTGGACATGAAGAAGAGTGACAGTAGGAGGGGATGTCCTGAGAAAAAGACAATAGTCCTTCTAGAAAACTTGTAACCCTTAAATCGAGAAAAAACCACAAGTAAAAGCTCATAATCAACCCTATTGACTAAGCAAACATGTTTCGGTCCGTACGCACGCGGATCATACCCGTCGTCAGGCCTTCATCAGTGCACGGCAAAACAGTTGGTGATTCTCGATGAGAACTCTTAACAGGTCCCTCACCTTGTTGTCGTACCAGGAATTTTCACCAACGCACAACAATCGGTGATTTTCGTTGAGAATCCCCTCACATGGACGTGGTAGCAGGAATTTTCACCAACGAACAACAATTGGCGATTTTTTTATGAGAATTCGGAACAGGTCCCTCACCTGGCCGTCGTACCAGACCTCGTAGTTCAGCAAGTCGCGAAAATCCGTGATCTCCACTATCCCTTCGTCCAGTAACGGCTGCAGGCGAGAAGTGAGGAGACTCGGGAGAGAGTGGGCATGAGAAGTTCAAGTTTTGCTGTTGATGTTGATGTTTAGAGTAAAGTTTTTTTTTGGGGGGGGGAACGGAAGGGAGCGAGATGCTGTTGAGGATAATACATGGAAAGAATCAGAAGGGATGACATCACCCTCCGTGCTAACAGCATAAGAAGTTGACGTAACAAGATGGTATCATCATGTGATGGCCAGCTTAGTCTCTCACACACATTCTCCTTGTGTGCAGGGCAGGATCACGTTCATATGGTAGGCATGGAGAAGAGGAGGACTGGTCCACTTCTTTTTGTTTTAGCAGAGGAAAGGAAGTGAGGGAGTGAGTAGTGTTACATGCTCACCGCAATCAGCGTTCGCAGTTGCGGGTCCACCCCGCCCACATCGTTCAGGGAGAAATGGTCCACTCCCATGCGGATGTGAAGATCCATCCATTGGTAGATGCGATATGAGATGACCTGCAAAGGGTTCATGGGATCATGCAAGGGGGAGACTTTAGAGTTAACACAAACGGCATCCATCCATCCACCGGAAGACGCGCTCTGAGATGACCTGGACAGAGTGCGTGGGGTCATTGAAGGAATGTGAGTTTTGATTCAACTGAAAAGTCATCCATCCATCCACTTGTAGACACGCTGAATAACCTGCAGTGGATTCATGGGATCATGCACGGAGGTGACTTTTTTTTTCTAGTCGACTCAATAATCGACTCATCGCACGGAGGTGACTTTTGAGTCGACGCAAATGCCATCCCTCCTCTACTGGTCGACGCGCTCAGAGACAGCCTTTATGCATGCAACATTTCCGTGCCCCAAAACGCATGACATGATCGTACTATATTCAAGATAGGCAGGGTTACACAAGACAGCGGCAAGAGAATGGCAAGAGACCGACAAGAAAATGACAAAAGAGGGACGAGATTATGGCAACAGTAGGATGGAAGGAGTGTAGAGGAGGAGAGAAGTGCTTATAACAGCAACGCATGATGCTGTATGAGGAACGGGGCACTGAAGTCAGAGCGTACCTCGTTGAGGGGGTGTGGGAAGAGGGAAGAGGGAGGGGAAGGGGGAAGAGGAATGGGTTGCGTTGTGAGGGAAGAACCGACCTGACTATGATTCTATGAATGAGGGGAGATGACACCAGTTAGGTGCCATTGAGTTCGATACGTGGCAGCAACTAAGTGACTTTTGATTCGACTCAAAAGAAGGAAGAGGGAGGGGAAGGGGGAAGAGGAATGGGTTGCATTGTGAGGGAAGAACCGACATGACTATGAATGGGGGAAGAGCAGTGCGTGATGTTGTAGAGGAACAGGGTGTGGAAGGGAGAGCTTGTTTTTGAGTCGACTCAAAAACCGACTCACTACACGCGGATTCTATGAATGAGGGGAGAGCAGTGCGTGATGTCGTAGAGGAACAAGGTGTGGAAGGGAGAGCTTGCCTTGTTGGGGGGGCGGGAGATGGGGGCTGGGTTGCCTTGTTGGGGGGGCGGGAGATGGGGGGCTGGGTTGCCTTGTTGGGGGGGCGGGAGATGGGGGCTGGGTTGCCTTGTTGGGGGGGCGGGAGATGGGGGCTGGGTTGCCTTGTTGGGGGGGCGGGAGATGGGGGCTGGGTTGCCTTGTTGGGGGGGCGGGAGATGGGGGCTGGGTTGCCTTGTTGGGGGGGCGGGAGATGGGGGCTGGGTTGCCTTGTTGGGGGGGCGGGAGATGGGGGCTGGGTTGCCTTGTGATGGAGGAAGGGACATACCTGGCCGTGGATGGGGGGAGAGCAGTGCGTGATGTTGTAGAGGAACGGGGCATGTGTCATGGCAGTTACCACCTCCCCCGGTTGCTCCTCATACACCACCTTGTCCTCCCCCTCCATGCCCATGTGCACCCTGCCTCCCCCTCCCACGAGCGTTTCCCTGCAGTGTGCCACACAAAAAATGGGATATATGGGGGATGGCACACCGGGCACAGTAAACACCACCTTGTCCTCCCTCTCCATGCCCATGTGCACCCTACCTCCCCCCGCGGCCCGCCCCATACAGGCCCTGCCTCAAGGTATGGGATGCAACATGGGACATGGGGGATGGAACATGGGACATGGGACATGGCGCGTGGGACACGGGACATGGAATATGGGACATAACATGGAATATGGGACATGGGACATAACATGGAATATGGGACATAACATGGAATATGGGACATGGGACATAACATGGAATATGGGACATGGGACATAACATGGAATATGGGACATGGGACATAACATGGAATATGGGACATGGGACATAACATGGAATATGGGACATAACATGGAATATGGGACATGGGACATAACATGGAATATGGGTTATGGGACATAACATGGAATATGGGACATAACATGGAATATGGGACATGGGACATAACATGGAATATGGGACATGGGACATGGAATATGGAACATGGGACATGGAATATGGAACATGGGACATGGAATATGGAACATGGGACATGTCACTTGGGGCAAGGGCTTGGGGCATGGGACACAGGGCATGGGACACAGGGCATGGGACACAGGGCATGGGGACACAAGAGTCTGGGAGGCTGAGAGACAGAGAGTCTGAAAGGCTGGGAGAATGAGAGACCAATACACCATGAGAGCCTGAGAGGCCCCTGTAACACTCTCACACTCTCATCATAACACACACACACACACACACACACACACACAAGCACACACACACACACATACACACACACATACACACACACAAAGACACAGACACAGACACACACAAACACACACACACACTCACACACACTCACTCACACACACACACACACACACACACACACACACACACCTATTTAGAGTGCAGATTAAAATGAGCACAGCGTATTTCATCAAATGGTGCTCTCCCACGTGTATCACCTCCACACTGCCACGTATCCACTCCCTCCCATCCACCTCTTGCAGCTTCCTCGCCCCCCTACCCTCCTCCCTCCTCTCCTCAACCGTCTCGTCCCCCCTCCTCTCCTCAACCGTCTCGTCCCCCCTCCTCTCCTCAACCGTCTCGTCCCCCCTCCTCTCCTCAACCTTCTCGTCCTCCCTCCTTTCCCCCATCGTCAGTACTGAACCCATTCCACGCTTCTTCGTTCCTCCTATATGCCTCTCCATCCATTCTCCTCCCACGCGCTCCTCCATCAGTCTTTTCCACCTCCCCTCTAATGCAGCACCTCTTCGCTCAACTGCTTGCCCCGGACCCGCTGCTTCACCTTGTTTTTTAGTCGACTCAAAAAGACCTCTTCGCTCATCTGCTAGCCCCGGACCCGCTGCTTCGCCTTGCCCCAATGACCGGCCAAGTCCATCTGCTTGGCCTCGCCCTTCTGATCGATTCGCTTGATTTCCTTGACCTGCTTGACTTGCTTGATTTCCTTGACTTGCTTGATTTCCTTGACTTGCTTGACCTGCTTGACCTGCTTGACTTGCTTCACCTGCTTGACCCGCTGGTATCCGTGGTTCCCACATGCAATCGCCCACCTTCACAGAAAACAATACAGCAGCACTTGTATGTAAGGAATTTTGAGGCGCCTTATGAGACGTCTTTTGAGACGTCTCAAGACTCACCTTCACAGAAAACAACACAGCAGCACTTGTATGTAAGGAAATTTGAGGCGCCTTATAAGAACGCAACACAGCAGCACTAGTAGGCAGGGGCATGGCAGTAATGACACATCAGCATGTATGTAGGTCAGCATGTGTGCATCATGTGAGAAAATCACCAGCATGCATGCATTGCCACACCACGGGAGACAGCACACAATGCATGGACCGCGCGCGCGCGCGCGCACACACACACACACACACGCACGCACGCTACGTTGCATCATATCCAACACCATGCTAACCCCTCCCCTCCTCTCTCCTCCCTCTCACTTCGTCAAAAGCACACGCAGCTTGAAACATGACCTTTGAGGCGCCTCAAAACTAGTTTGGGGTCTCAAACGGTGGCTTTAAACTCCTCCCTCGCCCTTTTTTCACCCTCACCTCTCTCACATCTTCCAGAGCACGTGCAGCCAGGCCCACGACCGCAAACTGGTCGCCTGCGATTCGATAAGCCGAGAACTGCACAAACGGCAGCAGCCTCTCTTGCCTCGTGCTGCTGCTGCCACTGCTGCTACCACTGCTGCCACTGCTCGTGCCACCACTGATGTTGCTGCCACTGCTCATGCCACCACTGATGTTGCTGCCACTGCTCGTGCCACCACTGATGTTGCTGCCACTGCTCGTGCCACCACTGATGTTGCTGCCACTGCTCGTGCCGCCACTGATGTTGCTGCTGCCACTGCTCGTGCCACCACTGATGTTGCTGCCACTGCTCGTGCCACCGCTGATGTTGCTGCCACTGCTCGTGCCACCACTGATGTTGCTGCCATTGCTCGTGCCACCACTGATGTTGCTGCTGCCACTGCTCGTGCCGCCACTGATGTTGCTGCCACTGCTCGTGCCGCCACTGATGTTGCTGCCACTGCTCGTGCCGCCACTGATGTTGCTGCCATTGCTCGTGCCACCACTGATGTTGCTGCTGCCATTGCTTGTGCCACCACTGATGTTGCTGCTGCCACTGCTCGTGCCGCCACTGATGTTGCTGGCAGCGGCTGCAGTGTTTACTGCTACTGGCGGTGATGGTAGTGAACTAGAGAGAGCAGTGGACTGAAGGTGGCGCAGTGGCAACGGGTGGCCAGGACCAGGTGGGAGGGAATGACGCGCAAGGAACACAACGGGAGCTATGTTTGATGTGAGGCTAATCAAAACGCTTCGCACGCAATGCAAAGCCATTCACAAATGTTGAGTGGGACTAACGCACAAGCAGTGTGGAGGAACGAACGAAGCACAATAGGTTGTTAGACTGGGACAGATGTTAGGGTGGACGTCAGAAGCACGGGCAGGGCAGGATGCAGCAGAAACAGAAAGAAGAGGCATGCGTTGCAGGCAGTGAGTTAGTGATGGGAGCAGCAGGGTGAGCGAGGGCGGTATGCTGTGTACGAGGCTATTGAGTCGACTCAAAGGAGCAGCAGGGTGAGGGAGGGCGGTGTGCGTGCTGTGTGGCTAAAGGAAGAAGAACCTTGGGACCGGAACTGCTGCACAAAAAAACCTTCTAAGGTCGGGTCAAGAGGGGGGGGGAGGTGGGGGGGGGGGGGGGGGGGGGGGCAGTTCCGGCCAGGTTACTCCACTCTAAAGTGGCCGGGGGGTTGGGGTGGTGTATACATGGTCGGGGGAGCGAGCCAGGTGAAGCCTGGTTCACCTGCCGTAAAGAAGACCCTTCGATAGAAATTGTGCTGGCTTACTGAGAACTGCGGAGGAACGGAGGAGGCAGAGGCAGTGGCTTGAATAATCGCCTGCTCCTCATTGGTCGGGAAGATTGAGGTGTCAAAGGAGAGAATGAGCACCTGGTCACTCGCGCAGGCACACAACAAACAACGTGTATAGGGGGAAGCACGGTGGCAGACAAAACTATCGGAATGGGCAGGTGAGGCTGTGAAGTTGCTGAATTTGGAGTTAGGACACATGTAGGGAGGAGGGAGAGCCAGAAGGGAGGGATTAGGCCGTGGTGGAGTAAAAGGTGGGAGTAGTGATGTTATGTTAGGAAGGGTTGAAGATCCAACCTTGGAGTGAGCGGATCACCAATGAGGCAACAAAAGCAGGTAACGATTGGGAGAGACAGCAAAACTTGGTTTGTTTCTCTGTAGCAGCTGACGAGAAACCTGTCGAAACCCCTTGCTAGACAGGGGTGAAAAATATGTGCATGCAAGTAAGATCATACCATTTCGCTAGCAGAACGTGGCACCTTAAAGCACTCATACATACCAGCAGCAGGACGAAAACAACAAGGATGATGGACGGTGTTGGGCCTTTAAATAGCTGCGGCAAGGTACAGTACAGTACAGGCCATGGAAGCATTAAAGTAGTCCACTGTTCTTCTTGACTAATCGAAGGGCAGCAGTACGTGAAGGTGACGTTTGAGCAACATGATCAATAGTGGAAAATCAGTTGTAAACAATAGTGTGAAATATCAAGTGTGAAAACACATAAGTTGTCCACTGCTCTGGCTTCTAGCCTGCTGATTAGGAATGGGCCGAATGGGTTATTTCCTGTCCCATCAATCCTTTCCTATATTTTCTTGAAATCTGCAAATAGCATCGCACTGAACAATGTTACTGACTTTGAAAACAGCAATGAAAGGCACGTGGGAACGATAAGGGAACACCTCATAGCATAAACTGGTTGAGGAGGTGAGAGTTCGAGGGAGAGAGGGGCACAACGTGGCGTAAAATGGTTGAGGAGATGAGTGTGAGAGGGAGAGAGGGAGAGAGGGAGCACCTCGTGGCGTTGGATGAGTGAGTGCCACCTCTTGATGATGAGTGCTGATGCTGACGTCAGCAGCCCACGCCATCCATCGGCAGGGTTACCATCAGCAGCGTTATTAGTAGGGTCCAGGTGCGTATAAGGCTGAAAGTCGTTACTATTTTGATGGTCCTGACCGCGGCTGGGCCGAAGCTCTTCAAGAGCATGCGGATGTGTGGATTGCAATCCCTCTCTTTTAGACGCTGAAGATGATAATTCTGTTTGCTTTTGAGTCGACTCAAAAGCTGAAGATGATTCTGAATTTCTGCCAGGAGACGCACTGGTTATGCCAGGAGTAATGCTGTTCACTCTGGTCCCTCTGTGAGCAGGGGAAACTCTTCTGTACCCTCTGCCATAACCCAAACTGAGCTTCCCTCTGCCATTATCTCTCTCGCTATCCCTCTCCATCTCAAGTCCTGCCATTAGTGAAACCTTGCATTCACCGCCATGATATTGCGGTTAGACAGTTGAGAAGCACCTCAGTAGAAGTGGTCTCAGATAGTATCCCGTTTTAAGGTCGCTCTGTTAATATTAGAACACAGCGTCGCTTTCATAAGATTAGGTCATCTCGTTGCAGGTGGGAAATGCGTGACGGGAACAGGGAGTCGGTTTCAAGCTCATATGCATTGTTTCAGTTCGATCTCCAGGGTTTAGATGCGGTAAGAGGTATAAATGACTCTAAAAGGCAAGGCGCGTCTCTCCAGTTTAGGGCGTTGACTAAACCGATCCGTGTACGAAAGCGGTCCTCGTCGATAAGGGCGTGCTACATTTTTTGAAAGCGGCTAAAATCCGGACAACCGTCCGAGAACGGCTCAGATTCCGAATCTCGGGCAGTCCGGGTCCAGCGTCCAGACTAAACCTCGTCCGACGTTGTTTATGAAACATTTTCAACCTGACGAAACTCAGAGTTTTCGCTAGGCTGTAACCATGATCACGACGAGATTGCGACAAAGGTAACACTCAAGCGACTGAAAGACTCGAATCGTAGACCAATATAAATGCTTTACTGTTACGTCAGTCCTCTTATCGAACTGTAGTCGTCCGGTCGAGTTGGGAAGGCAATTCACGCAAAATGTTCCATCATCGGTCCGATCGTTGACGACGTCGCAAGTGGTCTAGCGAGGAAAATGACGAAGATAAACGACAACAGTAACCGCTAAAAATTCCGGACGACTGCTCATCCGGACGGGCTGAAGTAAAAACTTTAACACGCCCTCAAGTTCTCCAATTGAAGAACGAACTGGGACGGT